ATTATTGTAATTGGCAGTTATTACTTCTTTATTGTCTTTTTCTCTGTTTCTCTCTTGTTTCTCATTGTCACAGGTTTTTGTAGAGAGCTGAGGTTTTTCCTGTGACTGTGGGCCTCAGAGCACAGTAGTACAGAGCAGAGTCTGATACAGCAGCAGAGGAGATCTTCAGATCCACATGGATTTTTTCCCTTTTTTCAACTATAACAGAGAATCTTGGATCTACATCAGACCGCTGAGCTTCTTTTGCAGTAGCAAAGGTGAGTACAAGAAATTCGGGTTTTGATCTTTCATACTGACGGTACCAGTGGAGATAATCTGAAGCTACAGGTGATTGACTACAGGACAATGTAATATCTGAACCCTCTTCATAAACAACATCAGTTTTGTTTGTTTTGATGACATTTCCAAAGACAGCAGCTGAAAAAGAAAACAGTTCTTCTTAATGAAATGTTTTAAATAAAACAGAATAAATATATAATTAAACAAATAAATACCTGCTGATGCACAGAACAGAAAAACTGAATAAAGATCCATTTTACAAGTGTTCACTCCTGAGAAGAGTCAGACTGAATAGTTTCTACCAAAGTCTCTGTCAAACACATTAGATCATGTCATCTGTGAACACTGAGTCCCTCCACTCTGAGCCACATGATACCCAAGTTCAGTTCTGTAAATTTATTGCTGCAGTTCCTAGTGAATGTCTGAGAACACTGCCACCTTGTGGCACATTATACCAGCACAGTCAATTTGAGTTGAATTACTGAAATAAATTAACTTTTCCACGACATTCTAATTTATTGAGATGCACCTGTAGACATCAAAGGGGGCTTGAGCACCTGCCCTCTTTCTTCCTCGAGAGAAAGTGCCTTTTTTTCTGGGGAGTTTTTTATTATTATTTATTTTATTTGTTTTTAAATAATAATATATGTATATATGTGTTCGTGTTTCTGTTTGCGCAAAGCTTTCCCTGTCAAACAAATAAAAAATCAAAATATCAGGTCGGGTCGAGAAAAAGGTTGAGACTCTGTGGAGTTCCGATGCTTTTCTCCCTCCGCGTCTCCACACAGCACAGCAGTGTAGCACACACTGATCATCACATGACAGTCACAGACAGACAGAGAGCCGCAGAAGTGAAGGCCTCCTCCCTTTCCAGTTGTGTTTGTCTTGGTGTGGAGGTAAGTGGTGATGAACAACAGACTAAGCTACCTGTGCATCCAATTTACAGCTAATTATCCAAAAGACAAAAGGCAAATATTAAAAAAAATAAAAGTTTATTAAAATGCATTTAGAATGATCACAAAATGCAACATATGGGGGCAGAAATTTATATATTTATATCATTTCATATAGTTAATCAGTATCACGCGAAGACTGACATTTTTTCCACCAAAAAGCAGCATGATTACAAATGTGATATTGATTTTATACAGCAGTTCTATAAACAAGAATTTAATATTAAGATACTTACGTTTTAGACACAATATTGACTGTTTTTGCTCTATTTCGCCAACAAATATGATTCCAATTTGCCTCTCTGACATCAGCTGTTTTGTTCCTGAATCAACCGTTTAAATGATTCGGTTCAGTTGCAATGACTCACTTATTAACAGTGACTTGCTGCCACCTACTGACAGTTTTAATTTCACATTTAAAGTATCTTTTAATTTTTTTTTTTTTTTTATAATTTCAAATATCAGTATTCAACGTTTTGTCTAAAATGTCAAAACAGTATTAATGCATTTGTAACTGCAGATTAAATGCGTTCATGTCCTGCATTAAACAGTGTGTAAATGCATCTAAATGTCCCTCCTAATGCAGCTTCTGTGTTTTCTCTGCATTGCAAAGATGATTTTTGTCAATACTGATTTCATTTGCTTGGTAACAGCCCAAATGACTTAATATTATAATTGACTAATTCAATTTCAGAATTTGATTGAAAAGATGATGCACACTTTTAGAAAAAAAAATGGCTTTATAAAGGTAAAAATGCCCATAAAAGGTAAAAAATCAATTTAAACTTATTGGAAAAGATTAATTTCTATCACTGCTGTGAACTGATCACCACACATCATTATAGATAAAATCCCAGAAAATATTGAGATATATTTTTT